TTCTAGCTTCCTCCCATCCATCACTATTCAGGAATTATATGTTTGATTTTGTTGTTTGTTCTAGGAATCGAGTGGTAAGCTCTTGGTACTTCTGTTTCTTTTTTCACACACTCTCTCTGTCTGTTGAATTGTTCTCTCTCCATCGCTAAACTGTTTAGGTTGTTCTGTCTTTCGGATCTCTTTTCTTTCATAACAATCTCGACGTGAGTGCTTATCTCAATGGATTTGTTTGCCTTTTCCTCTTCTGGATCGGGTTCAGATTCCTCTCAGATTTTGTGCGGTGGAACTTACGGCGTGGAGAAGATGGATATGTCATTGGTAATGGTTTGGGTGGTGATGGTTTAGGTAACGGAAGTCCCAGGGCGACCAGGACACTAATGGTTTCAATTTCTTTAAGTTTCCTTTTATTCCTATTATTATTTCCTTTACTGATAGAGCTTGGTAATTTCAGGAATGAATATTGCCGCCTATAGCTAAGATCAGTAGCAAATGGTACGTAGTATATCCAATCTTTCCTTTCCAAGCCCTACCAGTTTATTCTTGGGCAGAGCCCTTAGTTTATTTTTTGTTATTTACAGATTTTGTTCTGAGATGATTTATGATTACTCAGCTCATATCCTTTTTGTCATCTAAAGTTCATTTCAAGCAGTTGACAGTACTGTTTAGTTACCTCATGGATTCATGGTGTCTTGATTGCCACTCTACTTCATTTGAATTTCTGTAATTCGGTTCTTGGGTTCTATGTAGTACTTGTTTAGCTATACATGGATCTCATACTTGAAGAGACTTCTCTTTTTCAGATGATGATTTTGTAGTCTATTGTCGATGTCACTTTCTTTTCTCTAATTCTGAAAAATTGTTCTCTTTTGGTGGAATATATTGATTTTCCCATGCTCATAGGTTTACAATTTTCCGATCCAGTAGTCTATGTAGGAAAAGCATGCACGCTGTTTATTCGAGGTGCAAACCCTGTTGCTTCCAGTATGCTGTGTACTGAATTATGTTTATGTTTTCTGTGGTTTTAGGTTGCTTTCTCTTCTACCGACGATTGAAGTTGAGAGCTGGGAGTTACCATGAAAAAATCAGTGAATACCTACCGTGCATAGTTCTGTTGTGCTCCCGTTGAAAGGAAATGCAACTCTGCCTCTGGTGGAAAAATCTTCTAACAACCAAGAGTTATCGTAATGGACTGTCCCTCAAACTCTTTACATCTTCCTTCTCATGTTTAATTGATGGTTTTGTAGTTTGCTCATATAATCTCTTTGCGTTCTTTAATAGGGCTGGTGGTGGTTGTGTATCATGTAAAGATACTTGAGGAATTAGGTTGTGATCCCTGTGTTTGGCCAAAAGTGGGTTGTAGGTTTGTTCCATACTTGGTTGATAACTATTTAGAGAAAGCTTTTCATTCCTTCTTTCAATGGTAGAGAAAGTTCTTCGTTGTTTTGAATGGAAAGTTTACATGTTCTCTGCCAAGTTTTATGGTTTTATTTAATAACTGATGTACCCAATTGTAATCAGTAAATGGATGCTCGAGTATGAACTTTGAACCTGTTGGTTTAAGTCGTGTAAATATGTGATGTTTGGTTGTGTTGGACACATTTTTTTGTTGCTTTTCAGGGATTGTTGGTCTTTATAATGGTTTTCATATAGTTATGAGTATGCTCATGAATTACGAGTTACGACCATGATTTGGTCGACGTTTGTGTAAACATATGCTATACAAATGTATAATGAACGCCTTTATTTGGACTATGTAACCATGGGCTTAATAGGCACCCAGTTTATGTATAACACACCTGTACCTAATTAAATGCCTTTTGTTTTGTTCAACTCCCGGCGCAGAGCGCGGGAAATGAAAACTAGTATGATGTATAATCGTTTAGCACAATGAACACATAAACGTGGCAAATTGTGGGCCGAATTTGAGACTCAATTGATGTGGGCTGTGATTGGGCCTAGTCGATCGAGTTGGTTGGCACTAGGGCTGTCATTTCGGTTGATAGTTAGCGGCTAACCGACCGGTCTAATCATTAACTGCCGGTTAGCGGCTAACCAGAAACCAAAAACAAGTGGTGGTCGGTTGTCGGAGGTGGTTAGTGGTTAGGCGGTTAGCCGATAAATCGACGTCGGTTAACCGACACTAACCGACCAACCTGAAACGACGTCGTTTTGCCATCCCTAAAACAACCCAACCCTAGCAGCGTGGCCTTCGTTCCTCCCTCACACACACATCGGCTAATCCATCGCCCAGCCGCCCCACTCCCACATCGCCCAGTTTTCTTCTCAGCAGCGGCGACGACTCCCCTGCGCCCCGCCGCCTCCACACTCCCATCTCGGCCAACCCGTTGGCGACGACTCCCCCACGTTCCTCCGCCCTCACCGCCTCGCCTCCACCCTATCATCTCGGCCGATCCAATCGGCAGCCACAACCCACAGCCACCCGGATGACCTCCTCCTCATGCTCCCTCCCCTGAGATCCTCCCTTACCGTCTCCCCGCAACTCCGTTCTCTCCAATCATCATCGCCGCTTCTCTCTAATCGTCGTCACCGCCTCCCTCCAATTGCGCTGCCCCTCCACCCACCGCGCAGCACGCCGTCACCCGCCGTGCCGCCCGACGACTCTCGTATCACGAGGACCGGCGATTGTTGCTTTGGGAGCTCGGGAGGAGCTCGGCTCCAGGCTGCTGATTTGGTGGCCAATTTGTTCCTGAACGAGAAGTTCTTCTTTGGCAGAAGCTCGGCGCCAGGCCATACACAAACAAACAACAAAAACAGAGGGTTTGACTTGAATAATAATATCTAAGTTGATTACAAATTTAGAATGATGATTTAGAGTGAATGATGATTGATTTATGAATGAAGAATGATGATTTTGGTGAATGATGATGGTTAATATTATGTAAGTTTATTAGAAATTTAGAATGATGATTTAGAGTGAATGATGATTGATTTATGAATGAAGAATGATGATTTTGGTGAATGATGATGATTTTGAATGAATGATGATGATTAATATTATATAAGTTTATTAGAAATTTAGAATGATGATGATTAATATTATGTAAGTTTATTAGAAATTTAGAATTATGGTTTAGAGTGAATGATGATTAATTTATGAATGAAGAATGATGATTTTGAATGAATGATGATGATTTTGGTGAATGCCATTCACGTGGAAATGTGATGTCATTCTGCTTATAAGTTATATAGGTTTAGTGATGATGAATGATGATTTTGATTGATGAATGATGATGATTGATGATTTTGATGATGCTTGTTAGTTGTTAGTTGTTACTTGTTAGAATTTGTGAATTTTTTTTTTCAATTTTTAATTTGTGTAACTGTTGATGTAGGGCGAGACCTCCGGCTCTACGTGGTGGACGAGGTGCACCTTCCGCTGAGACTACTTCTCGTGGTGGGAGACCTCCGGCTCCTCGAGGTCATGGTGGTGCGGGTGCCTCAGCCCCTCCTGCTCAGAATCGAGGTCGTGGTGGACGTACAAGGAGTCGGCATGTTCAGTTTGCTTCAGCGTTGACATCAATTGCATCGACTCCTGCCCATGCCGGTAGTGGAAGTACACCAACTGCTGAGACTCCTTCAGTAGAAACGGCTGGCTTTAAATAAAGTTAAAGACGATCCCTTCAATCTAGAGAAATTGTTGGAGACAAAAGGTACAACTGATGGTTGGAAGGATTTTACGAAGGTGGCGGTGGATGAGTATCCGATGGGAGAGTGCAGGCATTGTCATACTGAAATCAAAGCACATCCATGCGATTGGATTGGTGGTCTCGACACTCTGGAATATATCTGATTCTTGCTGAGATGGCTAAGGATATCCTAACTGTTCCCATCTCTTTTGTTGCCTCAGAGGCACCATTCAACTGTGGCGGGCGGATTCTCAGTCCATTCAGGTACTCTTTGAACGACCTAATGGTGGAGGCATTGATTTGTGCTGGGGATTGGATAAGGTATCCCGGATCCAGGGAGATTGACGATAAGGAAGATGATGAAGAGAATTTGACTTTGGAAAGTAGTGAGTTCTGAAACTCTCTTATTTTCATTCTTTCCACCTAATTCAATGTATGAATGTACTAACACTTTGTTTTCCTTTTTTTTCTTACTAAGTTAATGCCACTTTCCAAACTAGAATGGAAAGTGCAACGAATACTGGCAACGTGAGCAATGCAGATGCAAGCCTCAACATTCTCGTGGAGAATGAGCAGGAGGGTGAAGAAGAAGTACCAGAGGAAAAGTATGAGAAAGATGGATATGACGATTATGGTCATGACTTGTTGCCCCAATCGAATGAACAGGATTATACAGATGTTGGTTCTTCTAAGGCTGGTGATAAGTGATGATAGATGATGATGTGTTGTTGATTTGTTTTTGATTTGTTGCTATCTGGAGGATCTATTTTGATTTGTGGAGTTTATGTTGTTGAATTAATAAATGTGAGACATTAAGTTGCTAATTTAGATGTATTTTCGATGCAAAAGGAATTGAAATGTAGGTTTGAGATTTTATTTTTAGGTGATTTTAGTTTTCTTTTCTTGCTGGTCGGTCGGTTACTGGTCGGTTACCGGTCGATTTTAGATGTCAGCCAAACCGGCCTTCGTTTTTCGGTCACACTGGTTAAACCGCGCTGAAACAAAAACCGGACGGTCGGTCTGCGGCTACCCGAGGCGGGAGGACGGTCGGGTGGCGGCAGCGATTGGTCGTGTCTCGGTTTAACCGATAACCAAAATTTTGGTTTTCGATTAAACCGAAACCGACTGCCAGTCCTAGTTTGAACAGTGCATAGACTGTTCCAATACAAATATTAACGGACTCGGCTATGCACAAAAGCATAACTATAGGTTACATATTTGAGCCCTTCCTACAAAAATTGTAACGGCATCTAAAACATACAATATGAAAAGGAAAATTTGAGAGTCAAAACAAATTAAGGGGTATACTAAACAAAAGATTTCGGCATATATATTGCTAGTGAAGGGACCATATCGACTTATAAACATATATTTCATGTTCCACCTTATCCCTAAAATTTCTAGCGACACGTGAAACATAAAATAGGAAATGAGACATTTGAGAGCCGAAACAGAAACTAATTGAAGGGTAAAACATTAACAACTTTCCTTGAAATTATTTCAATTCATACATGTGAGAGCACACTTGCGCTCCCATCTTTATTGTTTCCATTTATATACAATCATAGACAAGGGTAACAATATATAACAAATTAAACAGCAAGCAAATATAAACCACATAAGCATGCTTGTAGCTAGCGTAACATACAAATGATCATCTTCAAACTCTAAGCAGAACGAACAAGAATGGCCAGTGCATGCTTCAGCTTCTCCACCTTTCCTCTCAATTCCTCCAACACAGCTTCCAACTCATCGATCTCATCGCTTTTAGCTTCCAATTCCCTATCTTTCATCGCAATCTCTTCGTCCTTTTCCTTCACCACCTTACCCATCTCCTCCACTTCGCTCTTCAGTTTCGAAATCTCCACCTCCTTCACCACCTTCTCCATCTCCACGACTTTCTCCTCCACTTCATTCATCATCTCCACAGCTTTCATCTTCTCCACTTCCATCTTCATGTCTCCGATCTCCTTGTCTTTCCTCTGGATCGCTTCATCTCTATCTTTTATCTCTCTATCCTTCGCCTCCACTTCCCTCCTCAACCTCTCAATCATCACCTCGTTATCATCATCGTCTCTCTTTTCAGTAGTCTCCTCTCCAGCCTCCTCCTTAACCGCCTCCTCTTCCCCTCCGGCCGCCTTTTTTGCCTCCTCCTCCTCCTCCTTCTCTTCCTCTTTCACCTCGGACGAAGTCTCCAAAGGATAAACTTGGAAATGATCAAGCCCACGCTGACCATCGTATTTGGTCGAGTACGCAGACACGACACCGTTTGAGAGCGGGATAAGATATTTCTTGCTGTGAACGTGCAACAGCCGAACCACCACCATCTGACCATCCTTGGGCGGCAAGACCTCGAGCTGGAACAGCGTACACGTGTCTTGCGCCGGGTCCTCCGTCGGTTGGTCGGCGGTTGCAGCGATGCAGAGGGTGCGGTATCTTGATTCACCCTGTAAGTACTTGCCGTTGGAACAGCAACGGATGTGGACCAGTGATTTGTCGTTGTGGGCTGCAGGCTCGAGCCTCAGCTTCACGAGTGGACTCTGATCGTCCAGGGCTTCCTTCTTGCAACTCATGCACTCAAAGTAGTGCTCGGATTCTTCATTGCGGTCGAGATAATGCATGAAGGTTGCTTTGGACTTTGATCGGAACGCGACGAACGTTGGCAACCCGACCACGGTTTCATTAGTTGATATAGTCTCGGCCATTTTTGTGGTTTGTTTCGTTTGAGTAGCTAGTTTTGTCGCTTGGTTATGGTGTTGCATGCATGGGTTGTTACGTATTTATAGACTTTTGAATCATGGCATTGGTATAGAATTGGGATTGATCGTTTTCTTTAAGCAATAAATATTGGTATTCCGTCTCTTTTCTGTGAAATATTCTTGGCTTATGAATGGAGGAATGACTTTGCCTTTCATTCTTTGCTTATTGTTAGCAAAGCACTCCAGTATATATCCTGTTTTAGCTCATGTTAAAAGTCGGACACGTAAAAAAATGCTTTCCTTTTCTATGGTGGGGAAAATGGGTCCACATAGGGTGAAGGGCTATGCATAATCAAGAGTTATTCATAAGTTCATAATCGGAAATAAGAGATTTTTCCAGAAATAGCACTGTTTAAAAAAAAAATTCCAAAAATAGCACCTAAGTCCGAAAAATTCCAAAAATAGCACCCTTTTCCAAAAACCGCTCCCTACTAGTGCGGTTTAGGCGAAAACCACCACCCAGGGGGCAGTTTTGCAGACCGCACCCCCACCGTGCGATTTGGTTGCAGATCGCACCCCCAAGGTATCTGTGACTCCTTCGCCTTCTCTTTAATCATCGATCCTGATCTCCTTCTTCTTGTCGTTAACCCTATTCGGAGCAGATTCGGTGAGTAACCATGAGTAACCCATCTACATCAGCATGACATCAGCATCCTCTCTCTCCTGGAAAGTCATTAATTTTCCCCTCTTTAATATTTGACAGACGATTTCTCACTCATTTTAAGTCGAAATTTAATTTTTTTTGCACAGTTAGATCAAATTAATTGTGCTCTTCAAAATGATATCCACTTTAATATATTTTTCGAACAAAAAAAAATTGATCCATTTTTTACCAGTCTATACCATATGGTATTGACTGGTATTGAAATAAAAGCATACTTATAGTTTGAAAAAGTACCATGGTGGTATGAACAAACCAAGATGGTAGGATGGTTGAATACATGATAGTAGAAATATATTAATTGTCATTTACGACTTTTAACATTATTGTATACCACAAGATACCACCCCGTACCAGGGTGGTATTGTGTGGTATTTTTTGGTCCTGTAATTTGTTCACCCATAAATTTGTAGATCCAATAGATCATGATGAACTCGTCCCTTCTGTGCAAACGTTTTCAAAAATGAATTAAAAACGAAGAAGATACCATACAATACCACCCCGTACCAGGGTGGTATTGTATGGTACTGTGTGGTATTTTTTGGTCCTGTAATTTGTTCACCCAGAAATTTGTAGATCCAATAGATCATGATGAACTCGTCCCTTCTGTGCAAACGTTTTCAAAAACGAATTAAAAAGGAAGAAAATACCATATGGTATGCAGTTGGTACCGAGAGGCCATACTTTTTTGTTCTAAAAAAATATTGAAAATTGATATCGTTTTGTAGAGCACGATGAACTCGTTCCACCTGTGCAAAAAAAATTAAAATCCGAGTTAAAACGAAAAAGATATGAGCCGATTAAGAAAACTAGAGAAAATAAAAATAATCTTTAATTCTCCATCCTTAGATCTGGATTTTCTAAATGAAGGGTCCAGATTTGGTTATTGATGGATGCATAACCCATGGTTATGCACCCTATCTTGAGCCCGACTATTCGATCTATGGCTTCTTCCTTTTCAGCGTTTATTTAGAAGACAAACTTATGTTGAGAAGTAAATAAGTGATAAGTGGTTGATTGTTATTCATAATATGCATTTTTATTATTATTCCGTGTTTTAATTATTAATTTTTCAATAAACCTTAAAATCATACGATTTTAATCTATGATTTGGATGTTACCTGAGTTTCAATTATGCGTAAAATCAGTAATAGTTTCGTGTAATGTTCCTCAATTCTTTGTTCCGGAGTTGAAAGGACCATGCCTAAGGAAATAGTGCAAATTTTGCCGAGTTCAATCCCACAAAAAATCGGTAGAAAAGCGCTCCAGTATATATTCAACTAGCATTGGGCCCGGTCCGTTGGCCGGTGTCGTATAAAACCTATCCGTGAATTTTATTTTATACTATTTGAAGAACATATAAAAGATTAAATAGTAGAATATGTAGCAAATGATTATGCTTAACCAAATCTTTACCTTATGTTTATTACAAAAATCGGTAGTTTGTGAGATTTTATTCAAGGAAAAACAACACAAATAACACCTATATAAGAGCATTATCTTTTGACAAAAACATCCATTATGCTTATCAATTCGAATCCTTCAAATTTATAAGCAAATAGCTAACGCCTCAACAGGCAAGAAAGAAAACACCAGCAATTATTTTTTTGATGAAATCCTAATTTCATTACGAAATAGGAAACTGTTTTACAGAGTTTGGACCAAAGTCCAGGAAGGATAGAAGACTCTTTCTAAGAATACAAGGGAGCCCAAACACGGTACAGAGAAAATAGAAAACATAACAAAAGAGAAAACCCAAGCCCACACCAAACAAAACAAAAGAAACCCTTGCCCAAGAACCCAACGTCTTCACACCACCAACCAGCTACCGCCTACCAAGACGCCAACCATCACCTACACCATCTCGTCGCCAGCCATAGCACCACTGCCAATCACCCCCAACACAACAAAACAAAAACACCCACAACAAAAAACACCACCGTCGACAAACCAGAGCCCATCGAAAACCATCACCAACCGCGCAACTGGAACACCATGCAATAGAAAGAAGAGCCACCAGCGAGCCACAAAGGCCACCACCTCCCAAACAGAACAAAACCACCATACCTGCACCACCACAAATCAAAACACTCCACGCACAAACAACCACCGCCGAATGCCAACGCCACCAAAACCAGACAACCACCAGACGATCCGTAGGGCAGCAAGTTCTCAAAGAAAGCCAACATCCCTACAACCAACCAATTGACAGTAGAACCATAGGCATCAAGCCAACTCCACCGAATCACTACGACATAATGAGTAAAGCAAGGAGGAAAGCTCCAAAAGTCAAAAACAAAGTTGTAAACCTCAAAAGCAATTCCCTCTGAACACTGGAAGACCTCAAGATCTGACCAGATCTGAAGTGTGGAAGAGGAACCATCTCAAAAGAGAGGTTCATGGCAAAATCCACTTAGGATAGAAGCAGAAATGGAACTGGAGAAACCCACTGAGGGGTTGGAAGAGGAAACAACATGAAGAAGAACAGTAAAAGGGGGCAAAGGGTTGCCGCCGGTCACCCATAGGTGAAGCCGGCGGCCCCCTGCAGAAGAATGGAAAAGGGGAAAGTTAGAAAGAAGGTAGAGGTTTTTTGAACTAGAGAGAGAGAGAGAAATGGAAGTTGGGTCTTAAAACACTAGCAATTAGATCATATAAAAAATACACCAAAACCTTGCAAGTGGTTTTCATTCATAAAAAATAGAGCTACATTAGACTTGACTAACCTAAAGATTGATTTAGCAGTTATGAACCAAACTTGAGAAACAAAAAAGACAATACATAAGGGTAAAGCTATCCAACGTATGAGAAAATAATTAAAGGAAAAATCCCACATTGTATTCCACAAATGAAACTGAACAAAAGAAGACAATCCATAAGGGAAAGACCTAAAACAAACTTTCAATATCAACTTCAATGAAACATAACAGGGTAATGACAATTTATTAGCGAAACCTTTTTCAAATTCTTTTTTATTAGCCAAACCTATCGAAATACTAAGAATTAGCCAAATGTTAACTTTCAGTTAGCAATTTTGTAAGTAAAATTGACTTGGCAACATGATACTGACTTGGAAGAGACACATGAAGGTCAACATTTCAAAATTTTAGTATTTTAACTAAGAAAAGAGTTACAAAATTATTAACAATAACGTAAAAATGTCTAATATTTTGATGCATTATGAAATATTTGGCTAATTAATAGCATTTTAATAAATTTGGATAGTATAAAAAAATCTGAAGAAGGTTTGAATAAAAAATTAGACATTTCTTAACATAATACTAAACTTCACATAGATGAAAACATAATATTAAATTGAAGCTTCACATAGTGGTCCTTAACTACATAGATTTTGGCAATAATACTTCTCCTCAGGGTCACAGTGGACAGCACGTGTTTCCTTTTCAACTCTGTTAAGATTGTTCCACCAAGGTTCTTAAGACTTAGTGTCTCAATCAATTGTTGCTACAATCAAGCATGTTAGATTGATATATAGATTCTACATACCAAGCCCACTTCTCAGCAACAACTTTTAGCACGGTAGTATGTTGCTGGTGGCTTGGGGAGCTTCTCATATTTTGTTATCGCGTCATCTGATTTCCCTCATTTAGATGTTAGAAACTGACATGATGCATTTTATAAACATGTAACTTAAGTGGGATCTGTAGAGGAAAAAGTAACATGGGGTAAGATAAATGTAGCCCACACCATATAGCTTTCAGACAATTATTATATGAGAGCACATAAGCTAAGTACTTGAGTTATGAATGTTTCAGTTTATTTTGTAATGGTGGTGTGATTTTATTAAATAAATAAACAGTTATAAAAGACACTAAACACAACAAAGACAGACTTCTAATGTCCCATCTCTATTTAGAAAGACTACTACCCTGCACATCTTCAAAAGGAACAGAAGGGGCCGGTGTGTACACTCCATTCCAATCGAATATGCAGACTCCATATCAAAACTCAATGAAGCAACAAAGGACCAATATCAAACCTCATCACATCCATTTCTAGCACTCTCATTCTCATTCTGGTCATCATAAGACCTAGTTTTGGTGTTAGGGCCATTCCCATCAATGATCATGTCTGGAGGGGTGATGAAGCTCAGGCTCACCTAACTAAGACAAATAAAAAGCTTAAACTCATCAGAATTAAAAATGGAAAGGATGTCATGTTAAAACGAAATAGATTTGAGTATGAAAGAGTTTGTTGGGAATTAATCGATAACTATTACTTTACACCGAATGAAATATATTCAATTTGACTAAGATGGTTTAAATGCAAGTGCTATGGCTTCATATATATGATGTTCTATGTAACCTTTGAGCAGTTGTGGAATGTACAAATATGGAATTCGTTCATCTAAAAGTTGGCATACCTGAAACCCAGCAACAAAATCTTCGAAATCATTAGATTCTGGGAAACATGAGGTAGTCCAAATGCTGATAGGGATAGTGGTTTCATGGCTTACTGTTGTCAAAGCTTTTTTGAATCGGTGTAGGCTCAAATTGGGATGCTCAAGATTACATAGCCGATGCAAGAGAGAGGTGCTCGACCATAAAAAAAAATGCACCCTTTGCAGTCGCCAGTTGTTGCATAGCCACGAATGGAAGCACAATCACATTATAATCCGGGGAAGTGAAGTAGCATCACATTTTTATCACAATTAAATAAAGAACACATTACTGAAAAAAATTTCAAGCATTCCCCAACCACTTTCTGATCGTGTATTACATCACATGTGGTGCCGAATCCAAGGGCTGTAACAACTACCGAAACCCATAGCAATTCGGCGCCGGAAATAGAATCGAAGATTGGATAGAAAAGGGAACCGAAAAATTCCAGCAAAATCCATCAATAATATGGGGTACAGCTGCTGTCGAGATAACAAAGTTAGCAAGACACAATAGCATCTAGGGAGATGGAACAGAGAGACGGCGAGGGAGAGAGCCTCCCGAACAACCAAGCCAGCATAATCAAATATTTTAATCCTGAGAATTGTTACCTTGGGGAGCACAAATGCTGTTGGGGTTTTAGACTCGGCGAGAAACAACATCGGAGACGGATAGGGATAGGAGAGGAAGATTCAAAGAGAGATAGAGAGCCATCTCTCTTACTGAAATTGTAATAGTTTTTCAAGAAACGGACTGAAATCTGTAGGCAGCGAAGAGAAATATGCAGTTATGAAGATTGAAAATGCTATTCCATTCTCATTTTCCCAGTCTGAAAGAAAAGCTGAAGTGGGCGGTGGGTTTAGAAGGGGAACTCCGGAGGCGATTTTGGGAGGCAGAGAGCGAGTGGGAAAATATCGAACAAATTGACTGATTTGTCCCTCCAAAGTCTGCGGCAAATCGAAGAGGGGCTGACGTGGACAATGCAATATAAGAGCTGTCTCTTGGCACTTCAAGCGCCACAACGCCTAAGAGTTTAATATTATAAAATTCAAAAGTTCTTTTAGTGGAGTTCAATATCTCATGAGAAATAAGAGAAAGAGACAAGAAATATGTGCAAATGAAAAGTGTGGACAAAAATAGTCTTCTAGGGCTCTGATACCAAACATTTATATCGTCATTAACAATCTTTGTTTTATTTTATTTAGGCTCGTTATTATATCAGTAATTAATTCGGTTTTAGAGATAGCTTCTTCTAATGTTTCTGTGGTTCCAATACTCATTTGCTCCTCTACAATTTCTGAGGTAAAGTAAGTTAGTTCACCTGTGACTACACTGATATCATTTATTGAGGTGAGATTTATAGCATCTATTCCTTCAATTTATTTGTTTATATGATAAGTAGTAGGCATATTTATTTTATAGATAATAGTATATATATATATATATATATATATATGGTGCCTTCTACGGTACCCCGGGTGAAATCCGGGGTACCACATACCTTGAGTATGAAAACGCTATCTAGACCTCGAATTAGCAGGATTTTTGGGCATGATAGTATACCCTAACCCTTAATGAGTGAACCCTAGGTCTTAATTATCTAAATCATAAACTATAAACCCTAAGATGGTGCATTGATTTTTTTGCCTATATTTGAACGAATCATAACCGTCGATTATTGCTTCTAATTAAATTGATCTTGGGGTATAAGATTTAGAGAATTAAGACCTAGATTTTGATCTTTTAGGATTAGAGTATAGTATCATGTCCGAAAGATCAGTCCATTCAAGTTCTGGATAGCGCTTTCTTACTCAAGGTATGCGGTACCACGGATTTCACCCAGGGTACCGTAGAACTCCCCATATATATATAGTTGTTAGATTTTATTTTCTAGATTTGTTATTGAATGTTGCAATTTCTCCAACTTATTTATTACTTGATTATTGGTTATCTCTTCTTGTTCTAGATTTTGTTCAATTACTGGGATATGTCTAATCCTCTCTGATTGTGTTCTAATCATCCGTCTTTGGTCTTGGGTTATCGATGGTCGGCTAGGTCCTATTTTAACGGTTTTTAGTGGTGCTTCTAATTGGATTATGGGTTTAAATAAATCCTCTATATTGATTACTTCTTTATTTTTGAAGGTTAAACTGTGGTGACTATTTGTTAACGCATAGTTTATTTGATAAGTTACTGAAAATGGTTTGCTATTTTCTTTCATAAAATTCTCTTTTTAATTCATATTTTATAATGATAGAAGAGTCAAGGTTACCATCTGCCAGACTCAATCCTTGTTGTAGGTTAATATCAAATTTAATTATTCCTACTCCTAAATTTCCCGTTCCTTTGGCAATAATGCTTTCTTCTTCGTTAATTAGTCTGTCATCACGTATTTCTAATTCAATGGGTGCATCAATTCCTATTTTCATGGTTGATTTTAATATAATATGAATTGTACTAATATGAATATAAGCTATTTTATTTCGTTCTTCTGATCTTAGTTTAGCTAATATTTTTCTAATCTATTCTTTATTTATTACTTGGATCAGAAAATCGCCCTTAGTTTGATCAATAGGGACTGCTACTTCACCTATCATTTTACCGTATTTAATAATGTTTTCTCTATCAAAGAGTTTTGATAGAAAAGACTTAGTTATAAAGTTTTGAGTTTCTGAAATAGTAAAATTAGTTTTTTCTCTAATTTTCTTAATGTCTATAACACCATCTAAGAAGTAGTTTTCGCCATCGTTTTTGTTCAAGTAATCAAAATAACTTGAGGTAGGATTATTAGACATACCTGACTTGTTTTCCTGAGGAGACTCTGAGATTTTTGTTGATCGCTTGATGATTGTAGCTGGGCTCCGTACGTTTGATTATATTGAAAGTGGTTGTGGCCTCCAGGATCAGCAGATCCAAGCCTTAAACTAGCAAGCTAGAGGGAGAGAGTACACAGGCAATTTTTATGGCCAAACTCGTTCTGCCTTATTTCATTGCAAACTCTTGCTCTTATATAGAGATGAAAGGGAATACAAAGACGTCATTGCTTACGTCTGTTAGACAGGGACGTAAAGCTAATACGTCAAAAGAAAGTGCGTGAAACGATAAGAAAAGCTGATAAAATACAATAATGCACGACTTTTTTAAAGGAGTGGGCCAACCTTCTCTTGTCGTTTTATCCCATATTTGTTTGATTCCTCTTTCTTCACATGATTCTTTCAGTCTTGGTCTGCTGGTCCATTGATGTCTTCGTCAGTTGATGCACACCATTCACAGAAGTGGTCCTCATAGATAGTAAGTGCGTTACACAGCTGTTTCTTGATTTGGATAGGAAGAGCTGATAGATTTCCATTAATTTCAGTGAATTCTTTAGTTTTATCTATTATGATTGTCCATTCTTCCTTGGTCATATTTCCTCTAGTTTTACTGGTGATGATGGCATCGGGGCTGCTGTAATTGACCTTGATCTGACTTACTGGTTCAATCTTGGTTAATGCTCTGCATACTACTAGAAGACCCTTTACTTGGTAGTCTGGGTTCTTCTCATAGTCTCGTAGGTCATCTCTGGTAGGATAATCACGGTTTGATACTCCCATAAGGATAACTGCCTTTGATCTGGCCAATAGCTTGTATTCATCAAATATGGGGTAGCTGCTTGTATACTTGAGAAATATTTCTCGTTCCTTGGCGAAAAGCTCAAGATATCTTCTAATCACGTTCCTCATTCTTTGTGGAAAGTATTCAAATACTTTCATGGTTGTAGTGTAGATAGTGTCGATTAATCCATACTGTTGGAACTCATAAGAAAGTTCTGGTGATGCTTCTTCTGTGATTACTGTTTTGGGTCCTCCTCGACTGACGGGATAAAAACCCATGGTTGTGTGTTTTTCTTCGTAACTAATTATCATATCCCAGTTGGATACGAACTTTTGAAAGACTGGTTTCAATTGTTCTTCTTTTTATTTTGTGGTTGGGATGCTCTTGATACTGGGTATCTTCATGATAAGTTTCTGTGATTGTTGCTCTTGAAACTTGACTGGTTCTTTCATTGCCATCACCTTGTATGACTGTCTAAATGCTTCTTCGGCTGCTTCTTTTGTTTTGAATGACTGATGTTGGACTGGTTTGCCATTGATGTGCTGGCTAGCGATGGCCTAGTTGTGATATACTCCTCGATATGGTCCATTGAATATGACATACCACTTGCTGCTTTTTCTGTCGTCTTCTTCATAATGGGAATCTCTTGCTTCTTTTTCTTCTTGTTCAATGATGTCTGCCCATCGTGTCGTCTTTTCTGTATTATTGCTGGTAGTAGTGGATGATTGTGTTGATGTCGAATTTTCTTTTTCAACAAGTTATGTGGTGGTTGTTGGTGGTTGTCTATTAGCATATCTAATCGATAGTGTACTAGCGTCGATGTAGTTATTCTTTAACTGTTGCTGAATAACATCGATTGATTGAATTATTGCTTCTTCCTCCCCCTGCAAAGGAGAAGTTGTTGTTCCAGTGCTGCACATTTTTCCTGCTTCTACTTTAGTTGATTAATGAGGGTCTTTATAAATCCTTCCATTCTCGAGTTAGTGTGTCGGTGAATGGATTGTTGCTGGACTTGATATATTTCAGATAAGGATTGTAATAATGGAGTTGTTGCTGCCACCTGATTAATCTCCCTTTGTTGAAATCTGCTTGTAGCTTGTACCTCCAAAAACCTGTAACATATTTAGAATCGGTTTGAAGTTCAAACCTTGTGGATAATAATTCGAGCTTCCATTTTTTCAGTGTTCTGAGACAAGCTAGTGTCTCTAATTCATGGATCGGATAGTTTTGTTCAGTGGCGGTAAATGTTCCAGAAATATATTTACATAATTTCTTTGAATATTTATCACTATTGAAAGCAACTGATAATTGAGAATCTGAAGATCCAATAATTTTGTCCGTAGACTGATAATCTTTAGGCTCTCGGCCAGAGACAGTAGCCTCATCATTTTTAATTTTGATATTACCAAAATTGTCCATTTGTAATAATTCTTTGCCATTTTGTATTGCTAACATGCACCCTGCCCATGTATCCTTAGAGGCATCTGTCTGAATTATTAGAAAATCTTTTTCACAAGGGTTATATAATTTTGGTAAATGCTGACATTTTTACTTTATTAACAAAACTATTCCAGTATCTTTATCATTCCATGACCAAGGGATTTTGTCGGAAATCTTTTTCTGTAAATGTTTTCTTTCTTTTGCTAAATCTTTTAAAAATCCTTGTTCACTAATATAATTTAAACATCCAAGAAAACGTTGAATTTGTTTCTATTTTCAAGTTGGTTAGGAAATTTATCAATATTTATTAATCTTCATACCAAGGTATTCAATTTCTTTTTGAAGAAGTTTTGATTTTTTCTTAGAAATAATTAGACCTTTTTCTTTTATTCTTTGTAACACTATTAAGACTTTTTCGCGATGATCTTCCTCCGATTGGTTAGTAAAAATTATGATATCATCGATGTATGCTAAACAAAACGATTGAAAACCGTCTAAGACATAATCCATAAACCGTTGGTAAATAGCTGGTGCTTGTTTCATCCTAAATGGGAGAACATTCCATTCGTAATGTTTTTGTGGTGGGCATGAAAAGGCTGTTAAAGGTTTGGTATTCTCATGCAGACGAAGTTGCCAATATCCTGATTTAGCATCTAAACTACTAAACCAAGTCTGACCTTTTAATCTTTCTAGTATATAGTCTTTCCTAGGTAATTTATAGCTATCTCCTATTGTTTGTTCGTTTAGTTTTTTATAGTTTATCACCATTCTTCTTTTTCCTCTTTTGATTTCATTATTATTTTCTATATAGAAAGCTGGTGCACTATGAGGGATTTTGCTTTCTCGTATATACCCTTTTCTACTAATTCAGAACATTCCTTTTGGAATTCTTCCACATCTCGTTGAGTATATTGTATTTTGTTCGGGACATTAACTTCCGTATTAGGATCTTTTAGTTTAATTTCAATAAATTTCTGATTGTTATTTTTATCTTTATCTAAAGGATGTTCACTACACACCTAGTCTAAAGTTTCCTCTATAATACCATAGGTAATTTGTACATATTCTAGTCTATTTTTGAGGTTTTGGAGTACAATTTTTAATACTTCGTTTTTTGTAATTATTTTGGTTGTGATTATCTTAGATTCCTGGTTTATTGTTTTAGGACATCTAAGGCTAATTGTTTTAATCCTTTGGATGAACGGTTGATATAATTTTAGAAAGTTATTTCCTATTATTATATCTAATCCTGAGTCATGTTGATAGATTGTTTTGGCTGTAAAGAAATGTTTTTCAATGATTATCGGTACATATTGTTTTACATACCAGATTTCATGAATAGATTTATCTGCTACTACAATTTGTAGAGGTTTTTCAAGTCTATCCCATTTTTTTATGGTTGATTTTTTGGCAAAACATAGGGTTGCTCCTGTATCAATGTATGCTAAAAAGCTTTTCCTTTCTATTTCAATTTTAATAAATGTTGCATTAGGATTTCCCTTAGTTAGTACCTTCTTCTGACTCATTTGAAGAGGTTTCAGAGTCTGAAATATATTCAATAATTTCTACATCAGAAAGTTCAAAATCTGTTTCTTCGATTGGTTCAAAACCACAATCGTATGCTAATCTAAGGACTTCTTGCTTTTTAGTATTAGTATTTTTCTTAGGGCATTTATTTGCGTAATATCCTTCTTCATTACATAACCAACATCTACAATTTGTCTTTCCTTTAGGACAGTATTCTTGTTGTTTTCTATTTCTGAAATATGTACTTAGTTTTTTAAACCTATTTTTTTTATATTCTTTATAAGGTATTTTTCTCCATTTTCTATAATCTCTATATTTTTTACGAGTTTTAGTAATCTTTCGATCGTTATTACACCCATATTTTCCAACTCTATCCATTGTTTCTTCACAACAGAGTTTAATTTTAGCTTGTTTCTTTAATTTTTCTTCGTTACAAGCTCTTTTATGCCATTCTTGTAAAACTAATATCCTTCCTCCTAATGTATCTGGTATTTCTTCTTTAGATAAAGACTCATTAAAGATAGCTTCGACTTTTTCAGAGACAATAGATGGTAATTTGGCATAGAATAATTTATCTAGGTCTTTCCTTATTGAAGGGGTAACTTGATAATGGTGTGTTCTGAATTCACAAATAAATGGTTCTAAGAAGCACATGTTGCAGATTCTAAGGTTAGTTAAATGCCAAATAGCTTGTTGACTTATGGTTGTGTTTGGTTTATTTTCCCGAGGATGTCGTCCTTAGAATTCATAAGTTATTGAATTTAAAACTTTTTCAAAGGTATTTGTAGCATCTGCTGTTCCATATAATAGTGTCTTAGCTGGAATATCCATGTTGTTGAGATAATGATAAACTGCCCCAGTTGTTTTATATATTAAGAAATTAAACATTTCGCTAGGTTGTAATTTTTTTAGATCTTCGTTAGTTTGTATTAATAAACCTGTTCGATTTTTCCAGTCTTCTAATTCTTTTAATGGATTGATACAACAGTCAAGGTCTAAAATGTCAGGACTGTTAAAACTGGTGGTGGAATATTTTGGTATGTAAGATTGAGGTATTTTATTCCATCCTCCCTCTTTGCGAGGTGTATACGAATTTTTGTATAAGTATTCATCAAAAAATAGTTGACCATCTTTATAGTTATTGAAATCACGTTTTCACGATGTTTCAGGTTGATCCTCAGTTTCAGTTTTTGTATAATTTGTATTTGTATAATTTTTATATGGGTTTTCGTCGCTACTATAGTCAAGGACTATTTTATCATTTTCGATATTTTCTTCTATCTCTGGTTCAGATTCGATAGTAATTGCGGCTAGTAAATCATTTAATTTATTGATTTGTTCGTCAATATTAGTCATAGAAGTTTGTAAGGTGCTGTGATAGTCAATGGGATTGATTTACCTGATTTATGTTTATCTAGATGTTTTTCCATATCTTCAATTGTAATGCACCTTTTATTGTCTAATTTGATTATTATTTCTTGAAGTTTGATAATGATTTCTTTAAGGTCTTCTTCTGGTAAGACTATTTCTTTAGAATTTGAAGTTGATTTTCCTATTGCCACTTCTCGCTGTTTTATATCCATTATAATCTTAGTAATAGTATCCTTAGCTAGTTCTAAATCTGAATATATATCTTTTTGTCTTTCATTACACTGATATTCTAGTATTGTTCTTAGTTGTTTATCATTGCTTTCTAGTATATTTATTATTTTTTCTTGATATTCATTCATTGTTTTCCCCAATTTTTCTAGTTTTATTGAAATGTTTTCGGTAGCCATTTTACCAATTTTGTTATTATAAAGTGGATTTCTGAATTTATGATGATATCTATTGAATTAATATTATTTTGGGTGCTTCTAAAAGTGCATTTTTCAATTTATCTTTTAGAGTCAATATCTCATCATTCATCATCTCATCTCTCTTTCTCATCTCATTTTATCATCTCTTTCATACAATTTTTTAATATTTTCTATTAGGTGTTCCAAGCACCTAACGTGACAAGGAAACTTTTCCATGCAATATATTGACATTCCTTTATAGAATTATAGTAATATGCAGATTCTAGGTCATATCAGAAGTCGGACATGCCAAAAAAAATGATTTCCTTTCTATGGTGGGTAAAAAGTATAGGTGTCAAAACATAGCCCGACCCGATTAACCCGCCCGATCAACCCGATCCGCAACCCGACCGCAATCCGAATAGACTAAAAGTCAACAACCTGCAACCCGATCGACCCGCAACCCGATTGACCCGCAACCCGATTAACCTGCAACCCGACAGACCCGCAACTCGATTAACCCAAACCCGATTGACCCGAACCCGACTAACACGTAACCCGACCGACTCAACCTGAATTTCATCTAATCCACTTGAATGATTATAAAAATATACAATACATATTTTTTCAAAATAAAGTTTTTCAGTCTAAACTTAAGTAAAATTATTTTTTCATTTCGTATAAGAAATTTTAAAAATATGAAACTCACTTGATATTACGTATTTTAAGAAAATTACAAAAATTGAAACATGAAGGTCACTTGAGATCATGACAATATTAATATAATATATAAATTAAAATTTTGGTTAATTTAACTATTCAATAAAATTATTAATTAAATATAAATAAAGTAATGTATTTAATAATTTGATGTTTTTAAAAGAAGAGGGAAATTTTGGTGTATTCAAGTTTTTGGAAAGAGAAAGAAGAGGGAAATTTGGTTCTTTGAATTTTTTAGAAAAGAAACAAGTGGGAATTTTGGTGGTTTTGATATGTGGGAAGAGAAAGAAGTTGGAAAGTTTGTTCTTTTGATTATGAAAGAGAAATAAGGAGGGAAACTTTTGGCTTTTCAAATATTTGTAGAAGGAAAGAAGAGGGTAATTTGGTTCTTTCAATTTTATGGAAGAGAAAGAGGTGGGAAAATTGAGTTTTTCTAATGTATGGAAGGAGAAAGAAGGAGGAAAATTTTA